TCTTTGAACCTAAGCATAGTCTCACCTTTGTAGACCATGTATCTCTCTCTCTGTGAGGGACCAGGACCACCTTCTAGGAGCAGTAACAACCCCACCGGTGGGATGGGAGGTGAGGGAGTGTAGTGGCATGAACAATGTCCCCCAGAATTCATATCTATCCAGACCTCAGAATGAGACTTTATTTGGACACAGAGTCTTGTAGATATAAGTAGCTAAGATGAGGTCATACTAGATTAGGTCAGTCCTAGGACTTAGGACCAATGACTGCTGTCCTTAGAAGAAGAGGGCAGGATACACAGAGTCACACAGGAAGGTCACGTGATGATGGAGACAGGGATTGGAGTGAGGCATCCAGAAGCCAAGGAAGACCAAGGGCAGCCAACCACCACCAGAAGCTAGGAAAGAGGCACAGGACAGATTCTCCTCAGAATCCCCAGAAGGAACCAGCTCGACCAACACCTTGATTTCGGACTTCTGGTCTCCAGAACTGTGAGAGAATAAGTGTCCGTTGTTTTAAGCTACCCAGTTTGTGCTAATTTGTTATAGCAGCTCGAGGAAACTAATACGAGTGGCTGCCTTCAGAATCCTCGGGGACCTGCCTTTGTGTCTCCATATTCTCTGTGGTCTGGGCTCTTTCTGCATCACCTGCAGGGCCCAAGGTGGGAATCACAGTCATATTAGGCAAGCATACAAGGCCATGGGTTTGTGACAGCCAGCCACAGGGCAACCTCCTTGAAAATAACTCTGCAAAGTCCAATCATGGGTCCGGGGACAGGATGCACTGCTCACCTCAGTTGCCCCCTGTCTACAGTAGAGATGATAATATGGCCCCAGTGTGCAGGTAGTGTTAGTGAATGAGAAGAATTTTGCTAAAAATAGGCAAGGCTGGTGCTAGGGAAAGAACAAGGAGTCAAAAGCATTTGGAGGTTATGATCCAGTTCTTATTAATTATGTAATGATAAGACCTACCATTTATTGGGCACTTAGCATGCCAGGCACCATGCTAAGACTATATAAGCGTTGTCTCAGTTTAGCCTCCCATCGGGCCTGTTGACATAAATAACATGTCCAAGGTCAAAAAGCCAGGCAGTAACAGAGAAGGGCAGATAAGACATGTGTACATTAAAAGAAAGAAGAAACAACAGAGCCGAAGATAGGATGTGCTTAGGATACAACTTAGCACCAGAAACAGCATGCTGTGTAGAAAAATCTGTAAAATAGAGACAAAAATAATTCCAACCTCATAGGGTTGTCCCGAAGCCTAAATGAGCTAATGTTTCAAAGGATTTTTTTCTAAAGTGTCTAGCAGAGAGTAAGCTCTCAATATTAGGGAATCTAATTATTAGTCAAATGGGTGGGGCAGAAAGCCAGAGCCCTCCAGATGGAAAGATTATCTCAAGAAAAGTAGAGATTCTGGAGTGGGTATTCCGTCCTGGAGGCAGATGTCTACAATGAGCAGGGAGATGAGGAAGGCACACATGTGTGGCTAATAAAATAACAGGCAGTGGGAAAGTGATCAGTGATCTCCTGATCCAGAGGGCCCACAGAGTTGCTGTGGGAGGAGTGAGCAGGAGGCAGATGTTCTAGGCCCTTCCCTACCTCCCCCACCCTGAGCCAAACTGCACTGAGCTGCTTCACCCACAGGACTTCATTATGGGATTACGTCTGAAAAAAGGGATTCTGATTCCCAGCTTTGCCCCTCCTAGCTCCACGATGTTGGGCACATCGCTGCACCTCTCTGAGCCTCAGTGTCCCCATTGTGATAATATTAGCCCTTCTCTCCCAGGGTGGTCATGAGCAGTGCTTGACTGAACATGTCAAGAGGGTAGAACACTACCTTACAGAGGAGGAAACTGCTGATCAGAGACGGGAGATGACTCCTTGAGTTGCCAGGCTGACTAGTAGCAAAGCCAAGCCAAAGCAATCTTTGACAAGTCAGATCCACTCCATAATCCCGACCCGTGCTACCTCTATGCCAGACACGGTGCTAAGGGCCTCACAAATATAACCCACTTAAGCTCCTGACAGCCGTAGGAGGCAAGTATTATTATTCTCCCATTTTCCAGATAAGGGCACTGAGGCCCAGAACAGTTGAGTCACTTGCCTCAAGCGTCAGAGCTGGTCAGTGGCTGGGCTGGGATGCAAACCAAGGCAGGCTGGTACCAGACTTAAATTTTGCCTCAAATGACTTAACTGTTTGTAATTAGGAGGGCTGAAATACAAATTCAGGGGCAGAGTACAAGTGGCTTGCTGGGCTGATTGTGGGACAGGCCAATTCGGGCTGCCCTTGGGAAGCAGCCCTCTGGGGACCGTGTCCTCCAAGACCCAAGTGCTCTTGCTGAGTCTCCTTTGCCCTTCCCCAGGTGCCCTGGCTTCCACTGGATAACAAAAAAAAGCTTTTCAACTCCGGGGTTCAAATCCCAGCTCTTTGTCGTGCTAACTGTGGGCAGGTTATGTAACCTACCTACACCCCACTCACTATCTCTACAGTAGGGATGGTTTTCTTGTACTTTCTTTGCTTTACTGGGAGAATTACATTCACAGAGTCTATAAAGCAAGTGGCATAGTATTCCCAGAATTCTTCTTGCTTCCTCCCTCACCCAAGCCCCTCCTCATCTACCCACACCTTCCCTCTAATTGCAGAATCCTGTGCCCTGGCTCTTTCCTGCAAACATCCCTCCATCAGATGAGAAAATACTCAACTCAGATGGAAGTTAATGGATCCAAACTTAATAATAGCAACTTCCATTTAGAACACTGTTATGTACCAAGCTGGTGGTAAGTGCTTTAAATGCAGCTTCTTGTTAAATCGTCACACTAATCCTGCAATTTCCTGAGGTTTTAGGGACGGTGAATACCTTGCCCCAGGTCGCGCAGGAATTTAGCGTCCGAGCGGGACCCAGCAATCCGACCCCCAACCCAGGCAGAGGCCCCGCCCCCAGTGCCTGAGCCCCACGGTCCGTCCCACTGAGAAGCAAGCCTGGGCGACCCAATTTCTCTCCCAGCTAGGGCGGTCCAGGCGAAAAGAGGCTTGCGGTGCGCGGCCCAGGGAAGGGGACTCCCCCGGGATCGGCCTGGGGCGGGTGCGCCCCCTGGGGGAGCGGGCGGAGAGAGCCCGAGGAAAGCCACAGCTGCAGGTGGGGAGGAGGCGGGAGGTTTGGAAGCCCCCTCTGCCTTCAGTAGGTTTTGGCTCTTTGCTAGGGATGAGAATTAAGTGAGGTCCCCAAGTTAAACCCAAACCCGGACTGTTCGAATGCTTAGGACCTATGAAGGGGGTGGGGTAGCATGAATCAGGAACAGGTGGGTGAGAATTTTCAAAACAAGAGAGGTTCCCAGAAGAGCCCCCTTCACAGGCGACAGTCCCTGGTGCCGGCCAGCGGACATCATCTTCGGTCCTGAGCTGGTCAGAGGCAGCCGGGGGAGGTGAAAGCTGTTCATGTCCAACTCAGAGGTAGTCAATGAGGGGACTAGGACAGTGGACTATTACAGAGGGAGAAGTTTCAAGTGCAAAGGACCACTTGGATGGGGAAGAGGATTCCTGTTTGGGACACAAAGTTGGAATTAAGAGAAAACTCTGAAGTTTCTCTGATTAAAGCTTCTGTGTCAAGAATCCGTGGTTCTGTGACAGGTACCTCCCTAGGGAAAAGTGCACCTTGGAAGTCTTCCCACACCTGGGGCTAATCTGAGCGTTACAGAAGCACATTTGGAGGGAATAGTGCGAAAGATGGGTGCGAGCTAGCTTAGTGGTTCTCAAAATGTGGTCCCTGACCAGCTGCTGTAACATCACCTGGAAACGTGTTATAAATGCAGATTTAGGATCCCCCCCCCCCCCCGACCCATGGCATTAGAAAGTCTATGGGTGGGGCCCAGGAATCTGCATTTTAACAAGCCCTTCTCTCCCAGCACCCTTACCTCCACCCTCTCTACCCCCACCTTGGGATTCCGATGTAACCTTAAGTTTGAGAACAGACTTGTCTGAGTTCATCTTTTTCTGGTTGTTTTTGTCCTCTGCCTGTTTATCACTTAGTATCAGTTCTGTTACTGGCACTGTAACAATGCAGCATTGGTTAATGAGGCACTAGTGATTTAACACAAAAATGAAGAAAACATGGTACCTTCCTAGTAGAATGCACAATCTAATGGGAAACTTGACTGTAACCCAGACAAACTGTGATCTGCTATGTAGCCAAGGGATAAACATGATAGGGGCACAGAGGAGAGAGGGGATTCATTCCTACCGATAAATTCAGAGAAAGCATTACTGAGACATGTGATTTGGATCTTGAAGGATGTGTGTGATTTCCAGCAAGCAGAGGAGGAGGAATTTCTTATGACTCAATAGCAGTTCAGATACCCTTCAACTGAGTTTTTGTTTTTGTTTTTAATGCTCAACAGAGCAGAATAGCTATTATCCTTGGTGTCTCTTGTATACCCAACAAGTCAGGGAGCCTCATTTGCTGGTAGCTCTGCATTCGAACAGGAAAGGGAAAATAAATGATCTTCATTAGTTTACAAGGTTAGTAATCACGCAGGGTCATGGCTGGGGACTGTTAACCCAGATGCCACTGGTTTTGTGTAGAGGAGCAATATGCAGAGATAATTACTTGGTGACAGCCAGAATGCATCGTTGTGCAAAGAGGATTAGATGCCTGAAATGGAGAGAGGGGAATGGAGAGACATCAACAGAGAGAAGGAGAGAAGAAATGGAGAAGTAATTGACTGAACTGGTGGCTGCTGCATAGACGCCATCAGAAAAGATAAGCAATAGTTCAGTAGTGGCTACACTGAATTCAATGTCAATAAGGCTTTCAACCTGAAAGCTCCAAAGGAAATTTAAGTCAGAGTTTCAATTACTTAATACTGCAACATAGGCTATTTGGGGCTGGCAGAGCTGAGATCCGAGTTGGCTTGAGGGATTAGGCTGCATCACCCATGAGAGAGATGAGGACAGTCTCGCCCCTGGATCAGTCAAGGTCCAATCAGAAAAGAGAAACCACACAGCAAGTTGAACAGGGAAGGTTTAATATAACAAATTATTAACTGCAATAGTGGATTGGAGTAACAAGGGGTTGGCTGGAGGGAAGCAAAGGCACTCTAAAGAATGTGGAAACAGTAGATACAGGGAGCAGCTGCTGGCCCTAGGGCTGCCTGGTGCACAGGATGGCAGGGTTGCTGAGATGCTGAGATGCAGCAGAACTTGCCAGGAATCAACCCCCTAGTATGCTGGGGAAAGCTCCTGGAGAGGAATCAGATCTTCAAGCTGATCTTGAAGGAAGCAGATCTTGAACCTGCACATGGGGAGGTGTCACTGGAGGTGCTCTGCTACAAAACTGCCAGCGGTGTGGGGCCAGCAGAAGGTGCCAGGCTCCGGGTGCTGCAAGAGCCTGGGGGCTGGAGAGGCTGTTCTGCTGCGGGAACCTGTCGAACAAGAACACGGGACCCAGAAGCAAAATTCTTTCCTTCTGCGATGTCTCTCTAGAGCCCTCTACTGATCAAGCTTTAATGCCAGTTGGGAAGGGAAAAATGTTTCAAAGTCTCACCCCCATTTTCACAGAGCAGTCAAAAAGGGTGAATCTGGAGCTGAAAAGCAAGAAATTGATAACCAGCACACTCTAGAACTATTTCAGAATATTCAAGATACTGAAAAATGGCATCCTTTGATTTGAATGGGGCTCACATTACATGTAGGAAACAATCTAAACTGTCTACAGTTGGAGTTATGGCGGGTGGAGACTTGCCTGATGGGCCCCTGGCCACGCGTGCATCAAAAGCTGTTTAGAAAGTCCTGCTCTTTGAGGTAGGATTTCTACTCCTAAAGACCCATGATAAGTGGATGCAAACAAATGATCACTGCTGTGCTGTTTATAACAGGAGAAAAAAGTGCTTAAAAGTCCGACAAGAGGATGGTTAAATAAATTATGGTGACTTTACAAGATGGAATATCATATGGTCATGAAAAATGCTATTTTAAAGCAATTAACAGGGTGCCTGGTTGGCTCAGTCAGTTCAGCCTCTGACTCTTGATTTTGGCTTAGGTCATGGTCCCAAGGTTGTGGGATCTAGCCCTGTGTTGGGCTCTGTGCTGAGTGTGGAACCTGCTTGGGATTCTCTCTCTCTCCTTCTGCCCCTCCCCACTCATGAACGTGTTCTCTCTCTCTCTCTCTCTAAAGTCAAAACAAAACAAAGCAAGGAATTGTAAAATTCTCAGGATATAATGTACAAAGGGGAAAAGACCAAAATAATGTATCTATAGAATATTCTCAATTATGTTAAGATAAAAAGAGTGTGTGTGTATATGTAATGAAACAGAAGGAAATTATAATAGTGTTTATCTCTGAATAGTTATTAATTTTTCTTTTCTTCTTCATATTTATCTATACGTTCCATGTTTCCTAGACTGAACATGTGTCACTTTTATAATTAAAATAAAATATATGGAGGCACCTGGGTGGCTCAATTGGTTAAGAGTCCGACTCTTGATTTCAGCTCAGGTCATCATCTCATGGTTTGTGAGTTCAAGCCCCGAGTCTGACTCTGTGCTGACAATGTGGAGCCTGCTTGGGATTCTCTCCCTCCCTCCCTCTCTGCCCCTCATCAGCTCTCTCTCTCTCTCTCTCTCTCTCTCTCTCTCAAAATAAATAAATAAGCTTAAAAAAAAGAAAGCATAAAAATAAAATGTATGATAAATTTTGAGGAATATACATCTCTCCAGCTTTCAGTAGCTGGAGGGAAGCTTCACAATTCCTTCTGGGAGCTTAACTTCAAGATCTGCTTCCTCTCCAGGAGCACAGACATTTAACTGCCTATATACAGCTCCAGTGGGGATGCAGCTAGGGGTCCACTACCGCCTTTCTCATTTCCTCTTTGTCTCTCTCTTGAATATTTCCTCTCTTTGTGCAAGAGGAGAGAGAGAACAAAAACATGCAGCAGTGTGATAACATGGCCTTAGTAAACTCTGCCTCTGACAGCAGGCAGCAGGGCATCCCACAGTTTGTTTACAGACTGTAGAACCCCCTTCTGTCCTCCCCCCAAACCCCTCTTTCTGTCCTGGTTATGTACCAGTTCACTTGTCTCTGTTTCCTCTGAAGCAATCACTGGAATAAGATGAAATGACTTTTTCTTAGATTTTCACTTGCCAGATCCACATTCCAGAATCCTGAGTGTTGTTGTAATTGTTTTTTAAATAGAACTCAGTTATGGTAAAGAAATGCATGCTACATAACAATAAAATCTAATGTTCATTTCAAATAAAAAGGTATATTAATCAATATCCATTTGCATAGCTTCCTGTATAATAAAAGGAATTGCATTTTCATAGGATGCTTCAATAAATCACTGTGTGGCCAGCACCTTGCTCTTCTTGTGAGTCTGAAGAAAGTCCAGCAATTTAATGACCGATACCACTTAGGAAATAATGGGAAAGCCATGGAGAGAGGTGTTTTAAACTATTAACCAATATGCCCCCCACCCCTGCACACACTCAAGGGGAGATGGAGATTCCCTTTGGCCTATGGAACAGAGGCACCGGGAGAGAAGCAAGAGAACTGAGACTGGTGGGAGTCTCAGAGGAGAGGGTATCATTTCCCACCAAGGTTGGATCCAAATGAGTGGAAAAAAATAGTCTAACTGTCCAGGGAAGATCTGAGAGCAGAGGAGCTCCCTCCAAAACTCTGGTACCTCACAGGAATGTCTCATGCTCTCATGCAGTGGGAGCCATAGAGTAAAAATGGGGCATTGGGATGCCAGGGACATGGAGGTCCTGGGACAACCTCACCTAACTTCCCATGGTTCAAAGGGGTATGGGGGAACAGCCAGCCACATCTTCCTGAGCCCCTCTCCTCCAGAGAGTACAGAAGTTAAATAAAAAGAGAGAAATGCTAACCTGCATGGTCTTTTGGTCATCAGAAGGGAATGTTGCTGTAGAAAGTGGTGTGAGCTCTATGGCTACAGCCGTATGAAGACCGGGTCAAGAGCCTCGCTTTAGTGGATACTGTGGTGCTTCCCCATATTTCCTCTCTATGGGATGCACCTCCCTCCCAAATGCTGGGGATACTGGTGGCTGGTCATTCTGCAATGGGAATTTCCCTGGCTGTGGGAAACTGCCCTCTGTGCAGGAGCAGACCGTAGCTAGAGACCGGCTGATGCAGGAATCCAAAGGTCAGACTCCCTTGCTTCAGTTTGGAATAATTCTGAAGGATCATTCCAGCTCCAGAACTCCTCCTAGGATGTGCTAAGGCCTCAGCTGCAACCACATTACAGGCTGGCTTCTTTGTCTGTCTGTCCTACCTTCCCCATTCCTTTACAGTTGCACTTCCCACAAATACTTTCCAAAAAACCCTTTGTGTGGGTAGACAGTTGCAGCTCTCCCTGTCAGAATGGGAATTTATTCTAGGGTAATTGGTGCTGGGGGTGGTCCTAGGAAGCTAACTCTAAAAAGGAATCTGGCAGGGGTGGGTGCCTGGATGGCTCCATTGGTTAAGCATCCGACTTCAGCTCAGGTCATGATCTCTCAGTTTGAGGGTTCAAGCCCTACATCGGGCCCTGCACTGACAACTCAGAGCCTGGAGCCTGCTTTGAATTCTGTGTCTCCCTCTCTCTCTCTCTCTCCCCCTCCCCTGCTCATGCGTTTGTGCACGCTCTCTCTCTCTCAAAAATAAACATTTAAAAAAAATAAAAAGGAATCTGGGAAGTGAATCGTTTGTTGGCTAGCTGGCAGCGAGGACCTCAGTACTAGTGGTTGGTGGAATACAGATAGTCCCTGGCATGCTGTAGCCACACAACTGTTAAAATTTTCACCAGTGGTGATCTGGGATGCCATGCCAGTAGAAGGGAATACACCAGCAGATCCAACGAACCCAGCACTGGAGGGAGAGGGTGACTGGAAGGACTATGGAATTGGATGACTGTTGCCGAGAGCATTGAAATTATTGAAGAGAGAAATTGGCCAGCACAGGGGGTCACTCACCAACTCAAGGTGAAATGTGAAAGCCAGGGCACCTCCTCGGCAGTATTTAAGGAGACTCTAATCTCCTGCAGCCAGAGGGCAGACAGAACAGAAGACCAGACTCCAGCTGTGGACTTAATTGTAATCACGGAGCATCAGAGGATACTGGATTCTCAGCCCCCATGGCCTTCTGTATGGCCTTCCACAGTGAGGGGCCTGCCAGGGCAGTATCGGATTCTGAGACTCATGATGGGGATATCTGGGTAGATGCAGCTGAGAACTTCGAATGCTCGGATTCCCCCAAATGCTTTGCAGAAGTAGCAGTGAACTTTGGCTTAGCCCTTTAGAGTTCAGTTGAGCAAGAATTTTCACGAACAACATCCTGATGCTACTTGTCCCTGAAAATACCCAATGAGATGGGCAAGGCTGGTATTATTTCTCCCATCCTTCAAAGGAGGGGATCGAGGTTCGGAGTAAGAGATTGAAAGAATGACTCTAACCTGGGACTCTGACACCTACTCTAGTGTTTTTCTCGTGAGGAAGGCAGAGTCAGGCTAAGTGGCCATCAATACAGTTGCTTCTGCAACGACACTACATGTCCCAGGCCATTTGCCCTTGGGTTGGCGCCTTGTGACTGAGTTCTCGACAATGGACTATAGACTACTGCCACTTTCAGAGCTGCCTGCCCGGCCTAAAATACCACCTCTGTGCCATCTCAACTTTCTCTTCTCTACCCTTGGTGACTTTGGCTGCTGGATACCTATGTATTTATTTGTACAGCTCCTCTGTTTGTGATAGGTAACAAGAAATAAAAGCCAGACGTGGTCAGGAAAAATTAGCACATCATAGGAAGGCACGTATGGGAAAAATCGCTGCAGTGGTGCAAGCGTGAGAAACACTGCATTGATTTCAAACACGCGCGTCATCACTGGGGACGAGCGAAAGAGCAAAGAGATAAAGGAGCAGGTGAATCTGGGGACTCATGGTGGGAGACCTGCCCTGGAGCATCCTGTTGGAAGCTAGAAGGGTGCGTCGGGTGGGATGGAAGGAGCAGATCAGGCTGGTCCCACTGACCCAGGAATTAACAACCCATGCAGTTAATGTGTCTGTAACTGTTTCCCATCAGGCCTGGCCCCCAGAATCTGAGTGAAGTCTCCCTGCGGGCAGAACACATACCTCTCTCTGTCTATGTCTCCTTGGCTGCGGGCCTGGAGCCACATACTCAGGAGGCCTTCAGGAATACCAGGTGCAGGAATTCTGCAGAAGAGCAGGTAAGGTCTCAGGTATCATCACTCCCTGAGCGCTGATGGGGCCACATTTGGCTGGCAACCCCAGGTAGGCCATCTGCAGAAGTGCATCTGCAGGTAGGTATGGCCGCAGAAAGCTCTGGGAGGCTGGAGTTTCAGTAGCCTGAGGACACCTCTTTCTCTGCAGCCCATGGCTCCTGCTGCTCTTGGTGTGTGGGGGAGGGGTG